GCTGCAGCGTGCAGTGGGGGTCGTGGGCGGGAGAAGGGACCCACGGAGTGGGCCGCCTCCACTCTACCCGGAGACCTGGGAGCCGGAGCTAGCCGGGTCCTCCCTGGCAGCGGGGGCTGGGCAGGCGTCCCCTCTCCAGTGGAGCCTGTCTTTGGAGGTGGCTGTGTCCCAGGCAGGCCTAGCCCCTGGGGCCTCCTTTTTGTTCTTGTGGTTCTTGTGGGGGCTGCTGGTTTCTATGGCGACAGCATCTTGGGCCAGCCTCTTGGCGGTGGCCCTGGGTGCTGGCCTGGTGAGCCCTCTCCCCAGGGCTGCGCAGAGGTTTGGCCCGTTGCAGGGCTATTAAGCCAGACACCCCATCGGCCCCCTAGAGGGAAGTGACCTGGGGGAGTCTGCTCCCCCAGCCGCAGCCCCTGCAGAGGGTCTGGCAGCAGGGATGGGTGTGCTGGAGCGGGCTTGCTCCCTGGAGTTCGGGGTGCGTAGTGGGCTCCTTGGGAACCCAGCATCTGTGCGCAGGCAGCTCCAGCCTCTGAGAGAGCAGGGCTTCTGTTGTGGGACGTGGGAGGGCAGGCAAAGGTGTCAGCTGGGTCTCCCCAAGCCATAGCCAGAGGGACCTTACCAGCGTGGCTGCACAGCTCTGTTGACAGGCGAGGAAACAGGCTGGGGAGGGGGCCCGCTCCAGGCCTCGGGGTGAGTCCAGGCTGGATAGAGGCCCGTGCTCCTGGCCCTGCCTGCAGTCAGGCTGTGCCCCAGGGCCTGGGCAGCCAGCAGCCAAAACTACCTGCAGGAAGAGCTGGCTTTCTGCCAGGAAGGCCAGGACCCCCGTGGGCTGCTAGCCCAGATCCAGCGTGTCTGGGTAGCAGCTCCCCTCTCCTCCCGTGTTGTCAGGACCACCCAGGCAGAGGGGGTCCGGTGGCAGGCATGCCGCCTCCAGGCTGAGCCGAGGACTGGGAGGGCCTCGAGGGACCTGACCTCCATGGCAGGTCGGTGCTGGCCTGACTCACTACCTCTGGTTGGCCTTCAATCCCTCTGAGCCTCAGTTTCCCCAACCGTGAGACGGAGGTGGTGCTACAGTCTCAGGTGGACTGTGAGCGTGAAGCGGTCGACGAGGGATGCCCCTGGGACAGGGTGGTCCCTGGGCGGTCCCTGGGGCGTCTGGCATGTCGGGACTGGTGGAGGGCGCCGCGAGGGAGTGCTGGCGCGAGGGTGTCCGCGCTCTGGGATCTCGGGAGGGAGGAGGGGCTGTGCAGGAGAGCTGACCCTGTTGGCCAGTGCCTGCGGGGGCAGCCGAATCTCGAGGCCTGCCCGTGCGTGGCCTGCTGAGGCCGCTCGCGTCAGTCTGGCCTGCCCTTCTCAAGGCTCACAAGGGCTGAGGTCACCCCATCCCCACATCTCAGACAGGAACCGAGGCTGAGGGTACGGGCATCGGCAGCCCCGTGGAGCCACGCGCTGGCTGTGGGGCCGCGGACAGGCGGCCTGGCCTCCCCGAGCCCCAGGCAGCTCATCTGTGAGATGGCGAGCCGTCGGTGCCTGGTCTGCGACTCCTTCAAGGGCAGATGGAGTCTGGGGGCTTTGGGCAAGCCCAGAGCCAGGCGCAGGGAGGGTCATCGGCCCCCTCCTCCCAGTTACCAGCTCCAGCACGGTGACTATGAGACGCCGAGTGAAGGCAGGTCGACTGCCACCAACATGCCCCTCTGTCCCCATTCTGTGTGCCCCCAAGCCCCAGCCCTGCCGATGGGGGCTCAGGCGGGAGAGGGCTGGGTGAGGGCTGTGTGAGGCAGCATGGCGGGGGAGAAGTAGGGTGGTGGGTTTCTGAGGGGTGCTCAGGAGCTCACCAGCCATCTCGAAGGGAGAGAGAAGCCTAGGCTGCGGGAAGGGGCCGCGGCGAGGGCTGATGGTGGGGTGGCAGAGGCAGGAGCTGCAGCACAGCAGCCAGGGAGAACA